TTCTCTCTTTCTCTATTTAAGTTGATATTACTGCTGCTGTATATACATATATATATACATATATATATATATAATGTTATTTCTTTATCTCTATCTCTTTCTCTTCTGTAAGGTTCAATACGTAGCAAGGCATTCAGGTTGGAAGGCATTTGTAGCCTGCTGTGTAAACAGCCATTGATGAATCGTTTTGGCTTGTAAGAACAACTGGTTAAGTTATTTAGATTACACACGTATAACTCGAGGAATGTATAAAAAAGATATTCAAACTATATATATATATATATATGTGTGTGTGTGTGTGTTAAATATTCGTAGGAAAGATCAATGTATTATTTAACGAGAAGTAGGAGAAAATATTTTCTACACTTTTTTATTTTGTGATATCTTATTTTAAGATTGTAATTGATTTTGAGTCAACGAGAATCAGACGTAATGGATGAAATCAAAAAGATGAATGAACGTGTAGTAGTAGTAGTAGTAGTAGTAGTAGTAGTAGTAGTAGTAAGTAAAAAGATACTTTAATCTTTGATTATGAGATAACTGTAGCAATGGAAATAGATGGATGTCTCTTAGAAGATGATGTGAACTCGTTTTAGCAGATCCTATCGCAAAAAGCCCTTTTTTGAAGTATTTCACTCGTACACCTACCTTGTCATTAGGTACTTATTTATTATTACTCCCAATTACCGTAAGTGATACTACCCCATCGAGTATAGAAACTTGTTTCTCGAGTATAAATAAAAATTATATAAGAAAAAAAAAAAAAAAGAAAGACCACAAGTCATACTTAAAAAAAGAGAATTTGTTAAACTTCAAACTTAAACTCGCTTCCTTCCTTGAGGTGGAAAAGAGGAAGAGGTTTTAATTAAAATGAATATTAATTACGGTAGTTACCTGTATACGATCCGCGTGGGTAATTCGATAATGATCTAGTTACAAAATAAATGTGAACGTTTCTTATTGGTCCGTACGCCTACATGCGTCATCCAACGTGGGCCGAACTAACTTTGACTTTAATTAATGGAAATGCAAATGAAAAAAAAAAAAAAGAAAAAAAAAATAATTGCAACAATTCGGTACGAATGAACAATTGGTATGTGAACGATATAATTAATTTATTATTAAAAAAAAAAAAAGGAGATTTTATTTATATTAACACAAAAAATTATTTTATTATATTAGTATTATATTAGTATTATATTAATAATATTTATAATTTATAAATTATAAATTTATATTTATATGCATTTATTATATTATATTATTTTATTATTATTTTATTATATTATATTTATTGCAATATAATTTATTTTTCTATATGAAATTTTTATAATATTAAATATATAAATTTATATAATATTTTTTAATAATAATAATATAATTTATTAAAAAAATTATAATTATATTATATAATTTAATTTATATATAAATATAAATATGAATGATAATAAAATAATATAATAAATTAATAATATTAATATAAATATTATATATAAATATACTATAAATTAGTATAATATTAATATTAATGTTATTAAACAATATATATATTTATTTCTTCCCACATTTATTTATTTTTTGTATAATTACATCATATTATTTTTCATGATAACATTCATTCATTTCATGATAAGACACTTTATGGAGATTATACTTTCAAGAAATGAAACACGGCTACTTTACAAAACACGCTACGACACCACCATAGAAACTCTATCAACAAGAGCTTGGAACCTTTTGATAACAAATCGATTATTCTTATCGATTCTCTCATCATGCAACAAACGTGTGAATAACCGATAGGAAGAGTTTTCGCAGCGAGTCATCGAGATTTTCCACGATCAATGATAAAATTGATCTATCAATCTTTTGGCATACAAACTAAAGATCACCGTTCTTCGAAATATTTCATTTCAGATGTAATTTGTATCTGAGAAATTTCAGAAAGAATGAATTGGTTTAAAAAAAAATAAAAAATAAAAAATAAAAACAAACAAAAAATGGGATCAAAAAAAAAACGAGAACAACAACAACAACAGCGGCAAGTTAGTAAAAGAATGCACGTTGCATTTAGCATGAGTGATGCATTCGAGAGATGCTCTTACAAGTTGCAATTTGTATCGAAAGAATTTCAGGAAGAATGAATTGGTTTAAAAAAAAAAAATAACAAATAAAAACAAACAAAAAATGGGATCCAAAAAAAAAAAACGAGAACAACAACTACAAGAAGAACAACAGCAGCAAGTTTGTAAAAGCTGAAGAATGCACGTTGCATTTAGCGTGGGTGGTGGTGCATGTGAAAGATGCATCGGTGTCAGAAAGAGAAACGCGAGGTGAGATTTGATACCTTAGAACGTCGCAATGTTGCATTTTAAAATGATTCTCTCTTTCTCTCTCTCTCTCTCTTTCTCTAAAGAGTGTCACACGAGAGAAATGTTGAATTTTTGTTGTTCTTTTATTTATTTATTTATTTCTAAAGTAAGTACATTAATACGGTTCGTGAGACGTTGTGTAAAGGAGGTTGATTGAATATGTCACATGTCGAGCTCATAGATCTTTGCGACGCACGCAGTGCACCGGCTAGAAAATACATAAAACCTACACACATATATATATATATATAAACACATACAAATACAAATATACAAGTATGAACGTCTGACTGGCGCTTAGGTACTTGGCAATGCATTACCAACCCAAGCGGCTTATCGAAGAAACGACAGTCAGAGAGTAAATCAATGAACGGGACACGCGGCATTGCTAATAATAATCGCGAGAGGACTCGTTATTATTATTGTCGGTATGCCTTTTAAATATTAGAAGAGAGCATTGCCCACTAGAGATCAATCGTTTACAAGTTATATGCATATATATATATATGTATATGTTATATACTGGCGCCAATGATTATCTCGATCGATCGCTTTTCAAATCACTATCGCGTGTGTGTTACATTTTTTTTTGTTTTAATTTTATTTTTTTATTATCATTTGTTTTTTAT